CTGCTGCTGCTGCTGCTGTGGGTCTTGCTGCAGCGGGTCATTTACTGGAGTGCCGGAGCCTCGAGCAGAAAAAAGGAGCTGCAGCTGCTGCAGCTCCTCAGAAGGCTGCTGCTGCGGCGGCGGCTGCTGCTGCGGCGGCTGCTGCTGCTGCTGCCCCATAGATGGGTCTGAAGCAGCAGCGAGAAACATATCGGCGCTGAATCTTCAATTCTTTGTCAAAGTGTTTTGTTGTGTTGTAGCAGTTGCTGCTGCTGCAGCTGCCGCTGCTGCTGCTGCTGCTGCTCCTGCTGGCTATGCTCCAGCACCTGCTTCACCTTAATGCGTTGCAGCAGCTGCTGAATCTCTACTGTTTACGTACACTGTGTTTTTCTCTGTGGGGCCCCCCGCTACCTGCGCTTTTGGGATCCGATCCCGTGCGTGGCGAAGGACGCTTGCTGCAGCAGCAGCAGCAGCAGCAACGGGTGCTGCACTTGTTACTGCTACTGCTGCTGTTGCCGTGGGGAGTTCTGGTCTTGCTGCTGCACCTAGTCAGCCAGAAACGCCTAACCTCATCACCTGGATGCCACTAAAGGAAGGCATGCTCTGCTGCAGCTGCAGCAGCAGCAACAGCAGCAGTAGCAGGAGAACGAGCAGCAGCAGGGGCGCAGGCTGCAGTTGGAGGCGACGCTGTCGGAAAGAGCCTGCTAGTTTTTTGAATAACCTAATCTGCTGCTGCTGCTGCTGCTGCTGCTACCCAATGGTTGGTGTACATACACCTGTGCGTCGCCTGTGGGCGAGGCGTGCGCAGCAGCAGCGGCTCCCTGTGAAGGAGAAGCTTTTATATTTGTATCAGCAGAAAAATTTCTGTTAAAAACAAATAAATTTAGTCTTCAATAAACAATTCGCAGCCGCTATTTGCGGAGTGGGCCCGTCTTGCTGCATGCGCTGCTGCTGCTGCTGCTGCTGCTGCTGCTGCCAACACCGTCTGTCGCCCCAGCTGTTCTAGCTTAGTTGTTGATAGCTCTCATTGACTTTATATCTTTTTTTTCTTTCTCTCATGCTTTAATTATGTAAGAACCAACTACAGCAACGCCTAGACTTCTTCTTCCTCCCCAAGTGCTGCTTGCTTCGGGGCCCCAGCAGCGGCCGCAGCAGCAGCAGCAGCAGTCCTTGCATGCACGTGCCTGCTGTTAAGTGCAGCATATGGTTCCTTCTTGTTGATTTTCTGCGTACATTCACTGCTATGGGCCCCATGCAGTGCATGCAATGCATGCAAGACGTGTTGCGGTGTACGTGGGCTGTGATTTTCCTTAGTGGTGCTTGCATGCGTTTGGTCTTGGGGTCGCCCTAGTTGCTGCTGCAACAGAGCAGCAGATGCATCAGGGCTTAGCAGGCCCGGAGGAAGCTACGAGACGCATCAGCTGGGCAGCTGCTAATCGGGTGGGGCTGCTGCGCTCCTGCTGCAGTTCCCCATACAGACGAGATGCAGGTGTACGCATCTCGACCGTGCAGACATAATATGTGTGCATGCAGCCTTTGAAAAAGGCCAATTCAGAGTTGCCTGCAGCTCCAGTGTTTGTTCTGTGTAGAGCTAATACCTTCGACTCGTAGCTAGCAGCTGTGCCTTATTAATAATGTATTCCCGTATAGTTTGCTAACTGCAAATAGGTGCTGCAGGTTTCAACTGTTTAAGGTACAAATGCGTGGTACTCAGGTGTATTGCATGCATGATCACTCGTCATTATGATTAGACAACAAGGGGAGAGATGATGTCTCTGGTTTTTTAAATGCATTATCACCCTCCATATATTGTACTTGCCTGTATTTGTTAAGCGCATGCAATCCGCATGCACAAAGAGGAAAAGGAGGGAGGGAGGCAGAGACTAGCTCCAAACTTTAACTTCCCTCGCGTGAAGCAACTAACCACGGGATCTCCTGTTTGAGGAGCAGTAGCCCTGGCTTCAATCAATTAAATTTAACCCTGCAGTCAATCGTGGCGAACCGGAAAAAGAGAACAAAAGAGAGTTATAAAGTAAAGAGAGAAAGAGACAGAGAACAATAGGGTGATCAATGCAGCCAACGCGCATGCAAAAGGAAAGAAATAAAAACCAAAAATTGAGAGTCCGGGCGTCTTAACTAGATTTTCAGTGAATTAAATATCCTTATGCACGTAGGGGGACACGACCACGGGACCTTCGCTCCTCTTCACGCTCTCTCGTGAGGAGACCTCTCCCTGTTTGGCTAGCTGTGGATTCGCTTGTGTTGTTTGTAGACCCGACTAAACTGTTCCCAACCTTCTGTGGAAAGTTCTTTAGCAGCAGCATAGGGGGAAGTATGCGCGACGGCGTGAACCTTCGTGCTGCAGTTGGGAGTCAAAATAGGGATAATTATCTTTATTTGCGTTACCGGAGGGAGTTAAGGGAACAGAGCACAAATTGGAAGTGCGGGAAGCGCAAGAGCGAACGAGCAAAAGGCTACGTAGATCTTTCGGATTGACTTCGGAGGGAGATTTTCCTTGTGAGCCATCAGTTTATTTTGTCTGTTATTTTCACGCATTCATGCTGTTAAGCCTGTCGTTTGTTGGGTCCTATTTGCACCTGGAAGCTCCACGAACTCCCCACAAGCATCATTACTAACACGGATCCCAGGTGTGCAAATCGCCTTCTCGAACGAATTGATAGCTCAGCTTAAGATCGATCATAACATGGGCAGCACGAGTCACTCAGGCCAGCCCATGACTGTCAAATGAAGCGCACACCGTGGGCGCGCATGCAGCAACCTAGAGTTTATACTCAGCTGAATGCATCAGTGTTTCTTGATTCCCTCTCTAGACTGGGTTTAGAATGCAACAATGACTTTCAGGGAAAGATTTTTGCTGTGTCTGTGCAGAATTGCATTCTGCCTGGGAATTGGAACGTAGGCGTCGTGCCTCAGCAACCAGATAGGAGAAACCTCTGAGGTACTTGGCTGTGGAGTCTTCCTATATAAACCGACCCCGCCACCAAAGAACTAGCGTTCTAGATTTCGATTTTGTTATCGAAGTCTAGAAGGGTCTCATCGGGTGTATCAGCGATTAGCAACCGGCCTGAACGGTGAAATGCCTGTCTCATAAGTAATGTGGGCACTTCATTGTCCTCATTAAACCCCATGAAGTCTTCTTGTTTCTACCGGGTGTATCTTGCACTTTTCCCGAAGCCATGTGACCAACACGACAGAGATGGTCCTTG